ACATATTAAATACTCCAAAAAATCCTATATGGGTATTTTATAAATATTATTTTTACCCTATCATATAAACTTTTTATAAGTAACACCTTTTTTTACACTTATACTGTGATTAGATGTGAAATTTATGAAGCGATAGCCTCTAAAAGAAAAATAAAAGAGGCTTTTTTAATACAATCTAATAAAAATAAATGTATTGCTGATGCATCTGTGGATGTTAGTAATGTATGACAATCGCTTCTTTGATTTTAAAAAACATCACGAGACCTATAAATGTAATCGATTAAACTATTCAAATATATCTTGCGCGTGATTTTGTTTGGAAAATATTTGAATGGCATAATAATTTAATAAAAACCAGAGACCGCGAAGCGGTCGAGTGTTTTTATTCTAAAATTATTATGCATGAAACTATTTTCTAAAAAGCAAAATCATGCAAAAAATTATTTGGGTAGTTTAATCAATTAAATTTAAGGGTTGGGTGATATACGGCTAGATTATTTCCTGAATGACTTAGAAATGAAGCGAATGACTCAGGATGAAGCAAATAACTATAAGAATTTTATTAACCATAAAATTTAACATTTTTGGTCAACATTTTTTTACAAAAAACAAATTCTAAATTTAAAATAAAATTTAAAGACGTTTCAAAATGACGTCTCGTAAGTAATGTTTGTGCTTCTGTTACCTTGGTTACGCATCCAAACAATGCATAGAGGACCGTTTCGCATGCATTTCGCATGTCAACATATCAAAATCTGACGTATTTTTCTCCACTTATTTGTTCAAAATAATATTGAATAAGGGGTTTTCACCGATTAAAATCGTTATTAAGTCATACATATGAGTTGTAAATCAATTTTTTTAAATGAACTGTTGCCAAAATATCTCAGAATTAGTGATAAACGACAAAAAGAAAACCCAAAAGGAAGCCGAAAAAATAAACGCGGATAAACTGGTCTTGGGATTTAATCACTTATCTAAACAAAATTTATTCGAAAAATTAGATTAGCTGATTGGTCCATTTCACGATGAGGGAAATAATCATACATAAAGTTTAGGGCTTTTTGATTTTACCTTATTAAGTAATTGTTATCAGGTAGTAATTGTTAATTTTGAAGTTTAACTTGATATATGTCATTTTAACAGAACGTCAACGGTTTTTGTAGACGTATCTGTTTTAAAAAAACTTAAGTGTTCTCGAATAGTTGAATTTAAATATTTTAAATAGTTTTTTCTTTATTCTTTGCATTTTTTTTGCTTTCGACGACGGAAAGAGATAAACTTTCCGAAACGTTAAGCATTTTTTTGTTCGCTAGGCAAATTTGTATATCTGTAAACTAACTGCTGACAAGTAGTTTCCGTTTGGATTAACGCAGCAGTGTTTACAAAAATTAACTAATTTATTTTGTAGATTTTCTTGCAGTGGCGAAATACCCATATAAGATTTTTTAGTATCAATATTAGACATTTTATTTCTGTAATAATAATAATAAAGAATTCAAGGAGAGATAAAACCCTTCCCTAGTTGGTACCTATATCATGTAATATTCTTCTACTTAAAAATAACCTTCTTAATTCATCCATTTTTGCATCAATGCTTCTATTAACCTTCCCACATTGTTTCCATCTTGTCCATTCCACCCAAACTACTTACACATACACCCGAACAAAAGAAGGCTTGATCTTTTTTTCCTGAAAAACACTTCTGGGTCCCTTCGCATGATTGTACGGAGCGACGCCCCCCGTTGCGTGGGGCCTAATGGTTTCTTAAAGAACTCCCCGGGCATTATTCACGCACAATGGGGCCCTAAAGACCGAGAAGGCCTCTTGAAAACGATACGGGGTGGGTTTCGGACAAGCCACAGGGGCGGAGTGAGGTTCTTTGGGAAGATAAATACAAAAAAGTTGACTAGAAAGTAAAATAGCTATTTAAGTAACAAGTTGCGAAATGAATGTTTTTAAGTACGGGACGCAAAATTGTCCAACGAGGCGAAAGCCGAGTTGGACAATGTGTCGAGTGCTTAAAACACTCTTTTCGCAACGACTTTCATACAAGATTTTTTGTGAAAGCGGATAATTTGAGATTTTCATGCTATTATTACTATTTATTTTTAAACATTTTTTAAAATGTTCTGGCAATCGGTTTCTAAGGCATTGTTTAAAGATAAAGTTCTGTCAGATTCAAACGTCGTCGAATTTCCTACAAAGTTCTGTGAAAAAATGAGTAATTATGACGAGTCTTTGGATATTCAACAAGCTGCTGAAACTGCGCTATCCACGTTAGTGCCCGAGAAGTCGAAAAACTTATACGAGACCACCTACAACAATTTTGAAACCTGGGTCAAAGAAAAATATGTTGAGAATTTCACAGAAAAGGTATTGCTAGCCTATTTCCTGAATTTATCCGCTACCTTAACGCCGTCAACTCTGTGGAGTAAATATTCGATGCCCCGCACCATGATTTACCTGAACAGAAACGTAGATATTAGCAAATTCACAAACCTTATTGTATTTTTGAAAAGAAAAGCTTCCGGATATCAGGCAAAGAAATCAAAAGTATTTACAAAACTGGAAATAGAACGCTTTATGAAAGAAGCTGATGACAAAGAATTCCTGTTAGCTAAAGTTGTCTTAATCGTTGGAGTATTTGAAGCATGTAGGAGGGAAGAAATCACGTTTTTAACCGTAGATGCCATTAAAAATTGTCAGTCCATTTATTAGTGTGAAGATTCCGAATACAAAAACTCATTTTCCAAGAGTGTTTACGATTACTGAAGGACCAATAGATGGTATCAATTTCTTACATGTATTTCGTAAGTACGCAAAACTTCGACCACTCATTGTGACACATCAGCGATTTTTCTTGACGTATCGAAAAAAGCAATGCTGTACCCTACCAGTTGGAATCAATAGAATTGGGGGTATGGCAAAAAAGACAGCGGACTTTCTTGGACTCTCCAACGCCATTGAATACACTGGTCATTGTTTCCGGCGCAGCTCTGCAACAATGCTGGCATATTCAGGAGCGGACATAACAGTTTTAAAGCGACATGGAGGTTGGCGATCAAGCTCGGTTGCTGAAGGTTACATTGAAAATTCAATTGAACAGAAAACCGAAATAGCAAAAAGAATCATGGGACAGAAAGATACGCCAAATAAGAAATTAAAAGCAGTTCACGTAGAAGCAGAAGCTACCAGCGTTGCCAGTACAAGAAATTTACTTATTCCGATTCCTACAACTTGCATTTCTCTTAGAGACGAAAAGTTGGATGCCTTTGTATTCATTTTACTAATTTAAATAATTGTACCTGTAAGATTTATAATAAATAAATATTTTTATTGTTTCTAACGTTTCATTTTTTACTTTTAGGCACTAGTGCCTAAACAAGTATCACTTTTAGATACTAGTGCCTAAATGAATGTCATTTCGAATCTCAAATAAATATCAAAAACAAAAACTGTCAATTTCGAAACGCTTTCACAAAAAAATATTATCACAACTAGGAAGCTTATCTAATAGACAAAAATCCAGTAAACTTATATTTAATATGTGTATTAATCAAGTTCCTCAAGTTTTTTGATAATAATGGAAAGGGTATTACCCATATTTATTGAAATAAATATCTCTGTTGGGTATTTTAATTTGTAATTTAACTGCTAAAATACAAAACTGTTAAAAAATAAATCCACCGTAAGACTAAAAAGCTCTGTTAATTTATAATGCCGGGTCCAGACCAAGCAGACAAAACAACGACAAGACAGAAACATGTTTTACGACAAAATTGCGACAAATCCAATATATTTCTGCGACATTTTTGTTTTGTTTCGAAATTCGGAGACTTTTCAATGTCTCCTCTCGAGTCGGTAAAGATCAAAGTGTCTATGTTTTGTTCGTATATTTTGCGACAAGTAGTCGGCGCAGTGTGGAATGGCGTGTGCTGCCAACAGTAGGAGACCAGTGAAATCACACATGGTTAATAATTCGCAACAACTAAACTTTTGACTTTGTTGTACTTTTGTTATTGCGGTGTGGATAACTGGAAATGGTTTAATAAACTGAAAATGATGATGATAATAAAGTAAACTAGGTACTTAAAGTTCAGTTGAATGACTTTGTAGCACAGATATAAATCAATATTCTACTAAAAAGCTGTTTGAAATGTTATAACCTCAACCTTTCTGAACTAGTCGGTCGATCTTTGATCAAAAAATTTATTGAAAAATATCAATCGATAACGCGATTTACAAAAAATCACACGGTTGTTTATAAGCGGCTGTCCGCGTATACATTCATCACTAGATTACTATTGACCTCCAGTGACTGTCTATGTTATTAATATTAATTACATATTAATGTGCTTAAGATAAAACGGCATAATTTTCCACAAGACATCAAATATAGGCGGCAATCGCACTACTATATTTATATCTTCGAGAACGATGATCTTTAGGACCTTAGAGAAACAAGTAATCAAAGAGGCGTTAGTATATAAATTAAAAAAATATATAAAATATCAGATAACAGTTACATGGTTTGTAACACTGCACTATTAAAATGAGATAAAAGTTAATAGCAACGATGTGTCTAGTAAAATACTTATTACTTCTCACTACGTTATGCTCCATAAAGAAGTTAGTATATCTTTCGGCATGCACTTGAGAGATGTGTCAAAAGTTTTTTACAAGTACACGAGACCCACATTGTATGGCTGAATCCTGATGGCCTTTTCAGAGGCTGTATGGAGGAGGTGGGTTGTCATTGATGTCCTTTACGAATCCTGTATAATCAGCAGCATACACTCTTGCCACTGAGCCACAGTTGGTGTTGTAAATATAATCTCAAAGGTTAGGAAAATAAGTGGCAACATTGTTTTATAACGTATACATTTGGCTTTGGTATAATAAAGGCAGTCGTTAGCTGATGCTCATGAGAGTACGTTCGTTTGTATTATTTTTCCCGCCAAATGTTTTCAATATATTATAACAAATAGGTGAGGTTATGTGCCCAGAACGTGTTTAAAAAGCGAAAAAATACGGAAACGAGTATTCTTGAGTGCTACACGATGGCAGTGAACTATTTATCTAGTGTTCCTCGGCTAACGGGTCGTGAAAATTACTCAGATTGGGCTTTTGCAGTGGAAAATGTGTTCGTCCTTGAGGGTCTGACGAAATGTCTTGATGGCTCTGAGACAGATTCTGTTGTAGTAAGTAAGGCCAAAGCTAAGTTAATTTTAACAGTTGGTCCTACGTTATTTATCCATGTAAAGGACACTAAATCGGCTAAAGATGTATGGGATAAGTTAAAAAAAACTCTATGAAGATTCGTGTTTCGCGCGAAAAATTAGTTTAGTTCGGAAATTGATTTCGTTGAGACTTGAAAATTGTGAATCGATGGAGTCTTATGTTAACCAAATAATCGATACATCTCAGAAACTAGAAAGACACTTCTGCTTTTAAACTGACTGAAGAGTTTATTGGAAGTTTGATGCTTGCTGGTTTAACCGACAAATATGAACCGATGGTTATTGCAATTGAACACTCCGGAATTGACATAACTGCAGATTCAATCAAGTCAAAATTGTTAGACATGCATCTAGATGGCGTTAGTGGGACGTCAACGTCAAGTGCGGGTAGTGCGTTTGCGAGTAACATTTCGGGCAAATGGAATCATCGAAATGACAGCGGTCGTGGTAACAGTGGCAACAACGGAAAGCACAAAACGTAAATAAAAAAAAGTGAGGTTATCTGCTATAGATGTAAGAAGATGGGGCATTTTATGAACCGATGTCCAGAGAAGAAAGCTTACAGTAAAGATAATACATCTAGTGCTTTTAATGCTGTTTTTCTTACTGGAAAATTTGAGAAATCAGACTGGTACATTGATTCAGGTTGCAGTGCTCATCTTACAGCTCAAAGAAATTGTTTAAAAATGTAAGAGAAGTTCCAGTCAAGGAAATTACAGTGGCAAATGAGAATAGTTTAGCTATTGAATGTGGTGGTGACACAGAACTCACGACATTAGTGAAAGATAAGCAACATTTAATTAAAGTGAATGATGTATTCTACGTACCGGACTTAATGACTAATTTATTGTCTGTGAGCCGCTAATAAAAGAATAATAAATGAGTTGTTTTTCACAAAAACTGCGTAACATTTTAATAGCAGAAACGAACTGGTAGCTACAGCTAGTTTAGTAGGAAATGTTTACAAGTTAGATATTGTGGAGCCACATACAAAACTAGTAGCAGGATTAGCAGTCTCAGGAGAAATTTGGCACAGGCGTTTTGGACATTTAAATTACAAGTACCTGAATTCTATGAAGAATGGCTTAGTTGAGGGCTTTGATTATACAGGAAGTTTATCACAAAGTGACTCAGGCATTTGCGAAATCTGTTGTCAAGGTAAGCAAATGAGACTACCGTTTAATCATAAGGGCAATAGAGCAAAATCTATTTTAGAAGTTATTCATGGGGATTTATGCGGTCCGATGGAAGTGACATCTATAGGGGGCTCAAGATATTTTATGATATTAGAAGATGACTACGAGAATGGTGTTTACATATTCACTTAAAAGTAAAGATGAAGCTTTTGAAAAATTCAAGGAGTTTAAAGAATATGTAGAAAATCAAAAAGGTGAACGAATAAAAGTTTTTCGTACTGATCAAGGGACAGAGTTTGATGGGAAGTTTTTTCAAGAGTATTATAAGAATCAAGGAATTTTGCATCAGCAAACAAATGCTTATACTCCGCAGCAAAATGGTATGAGTGAACGGATGAATAGGACCATAGTGGAAAAAGCTCGTTGTTTGTTATGTGACGCAGAACTTGAAAAAAAATTTTGGGCGGAAGCTGTAGCAACAGCTGTTTATCTCAGAAATCGATCTGTAGTGTCAGGATTGAAGAAAACTCCATATGAAATGTGGTTCAACAAGAGGCCAGATGTAAGTGGAATACGAATTTTTGGTAGCAAAACCATGACACTTGTACCAAAAGAGAAAAGACAGAAATGGGATAAAAAATATAATAAAAAAAATGTTTTTAGTTGGGTATAGTGACAATATAAAAGGCTATAGACTGTATGATCCGATAAGACAGAAAATAATAATCAGCAGAGACGTAGTAATTGAAGAAAGCATAAGAAAACCAAGAAACATAGAATATGAACTACAAGAAGTATCAGATTCAGTGGGGGCTGAGGTCAGTCAGCCAGATAACTAGACTGATGAATCTTTTAGTGATGCTGAGTCAATCATTTCATCCAGCGATGAAGATTTTATTACAGAACTACCAACAGAAGAATGTGTGGAAGTAAGAAAATCTCAAAGAATTAAAAAACCTATGCAGTTTGAAGACTATGTAACTTATGTTTGCATACAAGAAGAAAATCCTAACGATGATGCAATGATAACTTCTTATGATGATCCAATCACTGTGAAAGAAGCTATGGCAAGTTACGATGCTAAGCTATGGAAAGAAGCAATGTGTGAAGAGATTCAGTGCTTTGAAGATAATGAAGCTTGGGAATTAGTGGACAACTTACCTGACTCTTCAACTGTTGTTCCATGCAAGTGGGTTTTCAAACGCAAAACCAGTGAAAACGGAGACGTAAAACATCGCGCGCGTTTAGTGGCGAAAGGTTGTGTACAAAAAGCGGGTGTGGATTACAGTGACGTGTTTTCTCCAGTAGTAAGACATTCTACTTTGCGACTGTTGATTGCATTAGCAGTCAGTTAAATTTGAAAAATTACACATCTTGATGCAAAGGCAGCGTTTTTAAATGGTGTACTTGATCAACCAGTATATATGAAACAACCTGAAGGATTTGTTGTTAAAAATCAAGAGAATAAGGTATACCGTTTAAAGAAGGCTGTTTATGGGCTAAAACAGGCGTCCAGAGCTTGAAATGCGAGAGTGAATGAAGTTTTGTCAAAAATTGGTTATAAACATTCACAACATGAACCTTGTTTATTCATTAAAAGTATTGCACTAACTTTTTAGTAGCAAGTATATGGTCGATTTTTTACTTTTTCCGATAATTCTAAAAATGTTGATAATTTAAAATCAAAGTTGAGTTTAGAATTTGACATAAAAGATCTAGGCGAAGCTAAACAATGTCTTGGTGTTAGGCTAACTAGAGATTATAAAAGAAATGCTATTTTTTAGATCAGGAAAACTATATTGACAAAGTTTTAAAATCTTTTGGAATGGAAAATTGTAATGTAGTTAGTACTCCTATGGAAAGTAAAGCTAATGTTGAAAAAAAAAATTGTTAATTCAAGTAAAAACTTATGTAATTTACCTTATCAACAGCTCATAGGAAGCTTAATGTATTTAGCTGTGCTTACTCGACCAGACATTACATTTGCTGTAAATTATTTAAGTCAATTTAACAATAATTTTTCAGAATATCATTGGCAGTGTGCTAAGAGAGTACTTAGGTATTTAAAAGGTACAAATGCTGTCATAGATTAGAGTTTTCAACAAGCTAGTGATCATTTTGATTTAGAAGGTTTTGTGGATTCTGATTGGGCTAATGATTGTGATAGGAAATCATACACAGGATATGTATTTAAACTATGTGGTGGGTCTATTTCTTGGCAAAGTTGTAAACAAAGAACTGTTGCATTAAGCAGTACTGAGGCAGAATATATAGGTCTTAGCGAAGCTTCAAAAGAAGCAGTTTATTTGAAAAATATTCTAGGTGAAATAATTGATTTTCACGATAGTGTTACAATATATAATGACAATCAGAGTGCACAAAAACTTGCTTTGAATCCATTGTTCCATAAGCGAACAAAACATATTGATGTACGCTATCATTTTGTTAGAGAATGTATTACAAATGGAATGATAACAATTCATTACCAACAAACTGATGAAATGGTAGCAGATATATTAACGAAGGGTTTAGCTAGAATTAAGCATTCTTATTTGTTAAGAAACTGGGTTTTACCTCTTAACCATTTGAGATAGTGGGTGTGTTGTAAATAACTTCAAAGGTTAGAAAATAAGGCAACATTGTTTTATAACGTATATATTTGGCTTTGGTATAATAAAGGCAGTCGTTAGCTGATGCTCATGAGAGTACGTTCGTTTGTATTATTTTTCCCGCCAAATGTTTTCTAATACATTATAACAACAGTTGGCCGTACTAATTACAATAGGTATAATAAATATAAAAGAAATAATATTATATTCCTGCACATTAACAGGTATTCTCGTTGCTTATTATAAATTTACGCTTGATTGATATTTCTGTGAAATATGGCAACATTACAAGATGTAAATATACACGTAAATCTTGTATTTCCAAGTATTTTAGAAATCCTCTACGATTACTTATTTCTCTGAAAAATAAAAAAAAAAAAAAAAAAAAATGTTTAAAAAATAATAACAAAGCACAAGAACAGGATCAAAGTACAGAGTGACTGAAAATAGATTATTATAGATCGCCATAACGTTGATATAATTGTCTGGAGTAAAATAATCTTCCTGTTTATATATCTACTTTTACTCAGTACTTTGACAAATTCTGTAAACTTTGGTACTGTTAAATAAAGATTCTAAATATAACAAGTAAACGATATGCATCAGTTTGATATTTATATTTGACGCTATTTATAAGGTGAAAATCGAAAAAATCTACATATACTATATTATACAGTAGTTATGGAATGTAGTAAAAAATAGTAGGGCATATACATATACCTATAAATGAAACTAATGGACTAAAGCCTATTCATGTAGACTAAAAGCCGCGTAGTGGACTTGGGGTGTCACCAATCCTTCCAGGCCTGTAAAATAACATAACATTATTAACATAGCATAGAAACACTTAATATTAACCACATTAATGTACATCGGAATTTTTACTGTACTGCAATAATTTGATTCTAGTGCGAAAAGAACCAATTTATGAAATTGTGTTACCAGTTCTTCAGCCAGTCCTGTGAGCAATAAAAATGATTGGACACTAGTGCACTAGTGCTATTATGAATTCATAATAACACGCAAATTTTAAAATAAGAAACAAGCAAAAAAGGTAACTAAATAGGTATATTTATTGTAAACATTAATTATAATATCAGTACAATTGGTTAAATTAATTCCAGACGATGAAAGGTGAGTTGAATTTTCAATATCCGAAGGGACACTTTCAGTATCAGAATCACCCATATTAATATTATTTTTTGCTTTTTGCTGAAACTGCATAAGTCATACAATCAACAAGCACGGTTACCACGGTGTTGACTAATATGGGCACCTGATAATTTTGAATTTCAATTTTTATGAGGATATCTCTGATATTTTAAATTAAATCAAATCTCTTTGGATCGTCCCTCGTGTCGCGTCGTAGATTAAATGTTGAATGATACACGTTCGATACGAACTTTTTAATGAAACTTGTCAACTCGGCTAACGCCTCGTGGCTTAACGTTACACGCATTTCATTATGATGTTCGTATCGAACTTGTATCATTAATAACTATTATGGTTTTAAAGAAAAAAATAATAATTTTGCTTTGATTTCAGTTAAAACATCGGTAGTGTTCCTATGAAAGCCGGTGGTTCCTTATAGTCCAATCAAAATTTGACGGTTGGCCTTGCTAGGCTACATAGGCCTTATTAGTAACATTAACAAATCATGAAAATATAAACACTTAGTTTTTAGTTATAAATACATACCGGGAAACTTGAAACAATGTTTTATGTTTATAATATTATTATTTGTAAGGGTTATTCAACTTTTTAACTAAAAAAAAACATTTGGCCTTACAAAGAACAAACCCACAAGAAGACCATTATAGGTAATTTCTGTTTTTTGTAATTTTCGATATAATACTCTTAGTAATATGATTGTGTTCAAAGAATGGTCGTTGAGTTTTTTAAAGAAGATTATAATATGTTAAGCATTTAATATTTCATTTAAATGAAAGAGCTTTTTATGTAGTTTTAGTAAAAGCGGATATTTTGATTATTACAACTCTAGTTTTACGTTGAACGACTGATTTACAATATTGGCCTTGTATGGAGCCCTGTTCCTTGCAAGGACGTTTGGAAGAGCTTAATAAATAGTGATTACATCTAGAATAAAAAAAGTAATATGTATGTTACACAATAAAACAAAGGGTTAATTAATAATTTGTATATTTCAGATTTCATTTATCCAGTAAATGAACTAATAAAAACTGTTTATTCGTTACAGTGGTCTTCCATGGTCCACCCACCTTATGCATTGGCCTTGGTCTTGCAGATCTGGCGCTAGTCTTTGTCTCGTTCTTGCTTTTTTTGAACCTAAACCAAGACCAGTCTCGCTAATCACTAATGAATGATTTATTAGTTGAATTCTATTTTTTTTTGTTCTCGAGATTCTTAATGCAACTACACTATATTAAACTGAGTCACCGTATTCACCCAGCGAGCGGACTTCATTTGTTTATGGCGACTTAGGCTTTTATTGTCTCGCATATACGTCTGTCTAATTGTTGTAATTTCAGCGGGCGTATCGTTTCGAACGTACACGATAATTTGCGGCCATGCAGCGGAACTGACCGACGCGATGCTCCTTTGTTTCACTTTATTTATTTATGTTTATTTTTTCCGTTGCGTTCAAATTACCGCGGCTAATTAGAATTTAATAGGATTATATCGGTCGCTGGGGATGAATCACTCACTGCAGTCTGAAAAGGTGCGGTTTATAATATATGAATAATACCGTGTGATTATAATGTTTCATTATTATTATTGTTATTAGAGTACGCGAGGTAAAACCGTATTTACGTTTTAGATTAAGTAACGTAAAATTACACTGATTGTCCTAGAAAACAATTGCCGAATCATTTACTATTACATATTTGTTATTATTGTAAGCTTCATGGATTAAAATCTTAATTCCGAACCTCGAAATTAGTGGATTCAATTAGCGTAGAAGTTTGTTTCATTAATTTCAATGTAAGCATTCAGAACGTCAAAATTAGTGATAGTAATTTTCAATTAGTAGAAAAGGTTAACACACTTTAGCTTCATTCCGAACCTCGCAATTAGTGGAATAAATTACTGGTTTCAATTAGCGTAGAAGTTTGTTGCTTTAATTTCATTGTAAGCGTTCAGAACGTCAAAATTGGTCGTAGACATTTTCAATTACTAGAAAAAGTTATCAAACTTTAATCTTTTCCACTAATTATAATTAAAAAATGCGAGGAATATCATTTTGGCTATTGATTATCTTCCGTCAAGAGAAATTGTGGTTAGAAATCAAAAGTTTATTGTTTTATAAGAAGCTAAATATTAGGCTTTCTCTATGGATACAACTGACTAACGCAAGCTGTTTCTGGATATTCTATCAATTTTATTTGTGTTTTTTAAACATTGTGAATGATTGCAAACTAAAGCTTCATTCAGAACCTCGCAATTAGTGGAATAAATTAGTGGTTTTAATTAGCGTAGAAGTTTGTTCCTTTAATTTCAATGTAAGCATTCAGAACGTCAAAATTAGTGGTAGACATTTTCAATTAGTAGAAAAAATTGTCAAACTTTTAACTTTTCCACTAATTATACTTGAAAATTTGCGAGAAATGTCATTTCGGCCTTTCATTATCTTCTGTTAAGAGAAATTGTGGTTAGAAATCAAAAGTTGATTGTTTTATAAGCTGAATATTAGGCTTTCTTTATGGATACAACTGATTAAGGCAAGCTGTTGCTAGGATATTCTATTAATTTTAATTGTGTTTTTTAAACATTGTGAATGATCGTAAACTAAAAATTATAAAGTGTAATTGAAATTGAAACCACTAATTTATTCTACTAATTGCGAGGTTCTCAATGAAGCTTAAAAAGTATAAAGTGTAATTGAAACTACTAATTTATTCCACTAATTGCAAGGTTCTGAATGAAGCTTTTTAACTTTTACCACTAATTATACCTCAAAATTTATGAGAAATGTTATTCTGGCTTTTGATTATCATCTGGCAAGAGAAATTGTGGTTAGAAATGAAAACTTTATTATTTTATAAGCGAATTATTAGGATTTTTCTAAAGATAAAACTGACTTAGTAATTTTACTTGTATTTTTTAGACTTGCGAATGAATGAAGTATAAAGTATAATTGAAACCACTAATTTATTCCACTAATTTCGAGGTTCCTAATGAAGTTTTAATACAGATATAAGTAATTTAAATGCACAATTTAATGATGAGAAGAAACAATAGCAAATACGAACAAGAGATTTTGTAAATAACAGCCATTGGGTTAAAGTGGATCGTTTTGTTTTAAGGTACATTGGATTATGCCCCCAGTAGTTTTAATATGTTTTCATTTTTTCACAGATGAAAGTACCTCACTACAGGGAAAGAAAATATATCGGACATCGCACCGAGGAACAGACTCTGGAACAGATGCAAACCGCTCGACAACTTATATTGAATGGCCACAAAATGAGATTTGCTACTTTAAAGAACTTTAAACAGGGGTATCATAAGAAAGTTAAAAGACACCCAGTTATCAATTTATGTATTATTTGCTCTTAAGTGTCCTTTTTTAAGAGATTAACACACTTTCTAAGATTAGATTTTAATATCTTATAACTATATATTTAGCAATAAACTATCGAAGTGCATGAGTTAGAAAAAAATATCCCACTATGATCTACCCCCACCCCCTTCTTTTTTGAATAGGAAAGAAGCGAAATAGCTAAATTATAAAATAAGTTAACAGAATAGAACCACCATTTCTTTTAATTTGTAATTTAGATTAATTTGCATGTAAATAATTTAAAAACAGTTTTTAATAAACATATGTAAAACTAACTATTATTATTAATTATTTTTTATCATTTTTACTATTTCAGATTACTTTGCTTTTAGAATAAATATATATTTTAAAAAAAAACAGGATGTTTCCAATCAATCATTTTAAAAACATCGATAGGCAAAACAATTTAATTATTCTAGTAGTACTTAAGTAATTATAGTATTTACAACTTTAATAAACAAATAAACAAAATTATAGAGAAATACATATTTGTTATTTAATTATTTTTAATAAATCTGTCGTATTGTTACTGTGTTTCTTGAAAGTCAACATAGATTTTCAATTTATGTAAAAAAATAGTATTTTAATAACGATATAAGCCTCTTCGTTAGACAACCACAACTATATTTAATTTTTACATATCTTGTAATTTTAAAATTTGACAATTTCCACGACTTTTACATTTTGCCTAAGTTACTTCATTGATCTAGTTTATTATCTGAACCAAATGAACTTGTTTTTATTTCTTTAAGTACGTAGTGAAATACTTTTTTTTGAAGTGAAACACAACTATAATAGTAAATTAGATTAAATTTTTTGATGTGGGCTATTCCATTGCGACCTTTTCAGACTTAAAGTAGTCTTTTTCTGCACTCCGTGTAAGATTCTCTAGTTGTATTCTTCTCAGAAAGTCTAATAACTTACACCCTTAGTAGGCCTGCGCTTTAGTTGCACAAACGTATACTTAGTATACCTAGACATACGAGGTTCATCGATAAAACTAAAATGATGTGCACTCCCCCGAAAGATCATAACAATGCTATATAAAAATCAGAGAAGAGCTTTTGGAATATGTAGCGGAATTCAATTACCTCGGCAGTTCGGAAAAGGTCAATATCGACTCTGAAATTCAGCACAGGATTAGCAGCGCCTCAAGATCATTCTGGAAATTGAAAGACAGAGTTTTCTACAAAAAAGAAACTTGCAGTGTACCGAGGAATAATAATCTCCACCATGTTATATGGAAGCGAAATCTGGGTGCCGTACCGCCGACACATAAACGCATTAAACAAGTTGTAACATAAACACCTTAGCCTAGACAACTTTTAAGAATCAAATGGTTCCACCATGTCTCAAACGTATCTGTCCTTGAAAAAACAAGCTGCGAGAGCGCTGAAGTCATGATTACAAAGTCCTGCTTAAGATGGGCTGGTCACGTATGCAGGATGCAAGAAAACCACCTACCAAAATTTCTTCTGTACGGTGAGCTTGTAGACGGTAAGAGGAAACCGGACAACAACTGAAAAGGTATAAAAATATTTTTCACGAAAACTTAAAGGGGATAAGCATGCAGAATTAGTCGGAAGAAGCAACGCATAAGTTAACTGCGACAACCAAAAAGTAAAGAGGCAACCATAGAAAGAGTTGTCATTTCCATAGTCAAAACTAGGCAACACGTTTAACGAGGATCGATTGTAGCGCACCCTTGAGCCCTAACTGAACTAATGGAAATATGACAGACGTAATCGGTAAAATAGGTATCTGCATTACCTACCACAAAAAAGGCGGGCAGTTTAAATGTGAAAATAAAATTCTATGTATTTTTAAAAATATTGCGAAATCAAAACTGCAAAAAATATAAAAAGTGTCTATACCTATGTGCAAAAAATATAATGAAAATTTATTTTTAAAAAAGGTATATTTGAAAAGTATAAACTATTGTACACTTTTCAAATGCTTACAGTTAAATGCTAAATTAAATTTGATAATATAAAACATATATGCTGAATTAACCTCGAGGGGTAAACCGCTGAAGAATTTCTGTACACTAATGCCAAAGTAATGCCAAATAATTTAGTACTAATAGCAATAATACCACGAAAATGCCAAAAATGCAAACATCTTGTACACCAAAATACACCAGCGGTTTACCCCTCGATTAACCTGTAGTATTATAAAACGTATTTAACAACGCCCCTAACAAAACATGTAATATCGCAGGGTTTCCTCGGGAAATAAAACTTCCTCCATAATTTCTGTACGCACAAACACAAAACAAACAAACAAAGTATATGCTACACCAAATAATAACAAAATTCCAAAATGCAAAACAAAATTGTAAACAATTGCAAAATACCTTTGAATAAGAAGACTAAGGAAGGAGCATATCAAAAATCTTAGGTACACCGCGATGGGCCTCAAATATGGCCGACTTAAATTCCGGTTTATCAGTGTCGTTCTAATTTTATTTAAAAAATGTAAAACTATGATGTAGGGTAGACGTGGGGCAGACTCAATAATTTGTTGTTTTATTTTACGTTGTGAATAAATGTTGGTAGTTATTAAAATTGTTATAAAAATATATAATTCTAATAAAAATAAATAAGTTATAATAAGTATTTATTAACACAAACATCCGATACGCTACTGAAGCAGGTAAGTCAAATTAACGTATCTAAATTCTTTGACATCTAATCTTTGACATATCTTTGACAAGTAATAAATAAAAGCTAAAATGCAAGAAAAATATATAATTTAGTTAATTTAAGTGAATTTCATAAATGATCGGTTTACTACACGTATGTATATTATATAGTCACTTACTAGCGAAAAGTTGTTCCATTATTTCATTCAATTTTTGCCGAGATCTACCGCACGCTACACAACCAACTATTTTAGAATCTTTTTCGATAAATCGCGATAGTGTCACTGTTAATTTAAGTTCTGCCACAATTTCCATCTAGATTTACTGCCTTTATACAACTATCAGTAGTTGAATAAATAATAAATAACATAAAATAAGCTCCGTAAAGACTGACAAATCCACAAAATTTCAAATCAAATTCAAATGTGTCAAATGAATCGTCAAACAGAACTGTCAAGGATCCCCACCCTAGAGCGCTTTTATGGTGGTTTTTCCGCCCACCATGCATGAATACATGGATAGCATTATGCTCCTTTCTTAGTCTTCTTATTCAAAGCAAAATACAAATAATTTGCTGTCATGTCACTTGTCAATCTTGTCATGACACGTGACAGGCAGCAGGTGACGACGCTTTGGAGCCCTAACTGAACTATGCAACATTATGGCCAATGCATAGAGAAATATAAAATAAAAGAGTTGTCATTTCCATAGTCAAAAGTAGGCAACACGTTTAACGAGGATCGATTGTAGCGCACCCTTGAGCCCTAACTGAACTAATCGAAATATGACAGACGTTATCGGTAAAATAGGTATCTGCATTGCCTACCACAAAAAAGGCGGGCTGTTTAAATATGAATATAAAATTTTATGTATTTTTTAAAATATTACGAAATTAAAACTGCAAAAATATAACGAAAGTTTATTTTTAAAAACGGAATATTTGAAAAGTATAAACTATTGTAGACTTTTCAAATGCTTACAGTTAAATGCTAAATTAAATTTGATAATATAAAACATATATGCTGAATTAACTTCGAGGGGTAAACTCCTGATGAATTTCTGTACACTAATGCCAAGGTAATGCCAAATAATTTAGTACTAATACCAATAATGCCACGAAAATGCCAACATCTTGTACACCACCAAAATACACCAGCGATTTACCCTTCGATTTACCTATAGTATTATAAAACGTATTTAACAACGCCACTAACAAAGCATATAAGATCGCAGGGTTTGCAATCTATGCTATTATAACAGATAAAGATTTAAATAAGATATCATCAAAAATTAATTCACCTTTAAGTTGGATTTATAAACTCAGCAGTCAGCAGTTGAAGTTCAGTTGATGTAGCAAATGTTCAACACTATTAAATGAAGGCGCAAATTTATAGTCAGTTCGTTTTACGTTCACAGAGTTCAGAGATGGGCAATGTCTTTACATATCGAACTTGCTTTCCATGATACCCTTTCCTGGATCGTGTTCAAATCACATCATCGGCTGAACAAAATATTACATGATGATGGCAAAACACAGCACAAAATATAAAGTTCAAATCATAGAGAAATATAAGGTCTCTCGTTCCTCGGGAAATAAAACTTCGTCCATAATTTCTGTACGCACAAACACAAAACAAACAAACAAAGTTTATGCTACACAAAATAATAACAAAATTCCAAAATTCAAAACAAAATTGTAAACAATTGCAAAATACAAATAATTTGCTGTCATGTCACTTGTCATTCTTGTAATGACACGTGACAGGTAGCAGGTGGCGACGCTTTGGAGCCCTAACTGAACTATGCAACATTATGGCCAAGTTAGACAACCTTTCAAACACTCTTTTATTTTAGTTACTTTATGGGCCAATGACTAAAGAATCCAAGGACAAATAACACCCGAGAGCAAATTGTGACGATGCCATCAGACAGTGCCGTGGCACATATTTTTCTTAACCTAGCTGTTTGAAGCAATATTTATATTTTTTGATAATTGTTTTGACTACGCCTATGGTGTATCATCCTAATTAATTACGAAAAAAACGTATTAAAATGTTAGCAAAAGGTACAAAACTAGTATCGACGTATAGCACATATCAAGTACATATAGATATTAATTGAAATTGAAGAATAATTATCGAATTCAATAAGAAAACGCTAAAAAGCTGGAGTGGACTGTTTATTTACCTATGAAAGGTAACTCCTGGCTCTTTCTTATCGCTGCTGCTTTAAGCCCCGTTCTCAGAACGACGTCGTGTCGCGGGCGACACGTCAAAAGGACCAATGAGATTTGTACAAAATTCAAACAGCTGTCAATTTTAAATTTAGTACAGCTCTCATTGGTTGTTTGAAATGTCAAACTGTGTAGCCAGCGACACGACGCAGTTCTGAGAACGGGGCTTTACACTTGAAAGCTGAACAACTAATCACCATTGTAATAAAGTTTATACAAAGTTTACTACACACAAACTATTAAAAATCGCTAAAATTGTCGCTGGTGACCAAATGAAGACTCATTGTTTCCCACTAA